CCAGATTGTTGGGGGCAATATGCTGACTCTCTGTAAACCGCTTAGAGAGGCCTGAAAGGCCTATGAAGCGGTATATAAGTCTACTGCTATTGGTCTGAAGGGCGTCCACTCCTTCTGCTGCCTGGGTTGGAAAACAGGAGAAGAACCTTGGGAGCTGAGCATTTGTCAGGGTTGAGAACAGAACCACTAGTGGAAATCCAAAGCGGTGACAAATCTTGTGGAACAGATTGGGATGAATCTGCCACTCCCCATGGTCTATAGTAATACGGCTGAGCCAATTGGCCTGGTGATTGGCCGTGCCCGAGATTTGTTCTGACACCAGTGATGCCAAATGTCTCTCTGCCCAAGAGTCGAGCTTCAGTGCTTCCAGCCAGAGGGCTCTGGAGTGAGTCCACCCTGGTGATTTATGTGTGCCTTTGTGGCCACATTGTCTCTCAAAAGAAGAACATGATGGTCTGTGATGGAGTTCTTGAACCCTTGGAGGGCCAGTCTTCAGTTCCAGCCAATTTATATTGTGGTGCAGGTCTGACACAGTCCAATGCCCCTGCGCCAACCTGGAATTCATCAGGGCCCCCCAACCGAATAAGCTCGCATCCGTGGTAATGGTTATGCGATCTGGCTCCAAACTTTGGGACCCGCATCATAGAGCCGGAGACAGCCACCACTTCATTGACATCTGCTGGCAGGTGGATGAGCCACAGGGAGTTGCTCATGTGCTTCTGTTGGAATGAGATGAGGGCAAGGTTTGGGAATGGAAGCAAGCCCAGGGCATGATCCCTATGCACAACACCATCTTTCCCAATAATCTGGCTGAGGTCAGGATGGAAGCTGACCTTCTTGAGCACACCTGCCATGCCAATGGCTGGAGACTGGCAAGACATTCTGGAGAAAGTCAAATTAGGCCTGCAACCGAGTCTATCACCGCCCCCAGATGAAGAATTTTTGTCGAGGGCAAGAGAAGACTTTTGGGGAAGTTGACGGAAAACCCCAGGGACTGCAAGGTCTGGATGATCAGGTGGAGGTCGACAACCGCCTGTACATTCAAGTTGGCCTGCACGAGCACTTCGACCAGGTAGCATTAGAGTCTCACCGGGACAGATTGGAGGTGAGCCGCCAATGCCACCAAGACCTTCGTAAATGTGTGCGGAGCTGAGGCTAGGCTGAAGGGGAGCGCTCTGTATTGGAAGTGGCATCCCTCATGGGAGAACCAGAGGTACCTCCGGTGGACGGATTGGATTAGGATGTGGAGGTAAGCCTCCGTTAGATCCAATGATGCTAGGTAATCCCCCCGCCTGATTCCCTGAAGAATAGATCTGAGGGAGGACATTTTGAAGCACCTGTATACTAGAAACTGGTTCAGGTGTTTGAGATCCAGAATGGCTCTCCATCCCCCCCGAGTTCTTCGGACAATGAACAGATTGGAATAGTGGCCCAATCTGTGTTCCGCTTCCGGGACCGGCTCCATCGCCTGAATGTCTAGCAGGTGTTGTATGGCTTGGGACATCAGGTGGGAATGATCCAGATCCCGAGATGGAGAGAACACCCAGAAGAAATTCGGAGGCATGGAGAGAAACTCTAGACAAAGACCATATCCGACTGTGGTTCATATCCAGGCATCGGGATCCACTTGGACTTGTCCATTTGCCAGTTGAGAAGCCGAAGTAAGCGCCTAGAAATCACCGAGTTAGCAAGGGCTCAGCCGAATATTTTACGGCGTCTAGGGTGGCATCCGCGGAAAACTGGATGGCCGCAATTATCTTGGTGATATCCTGCTGAAGTCGCTCATCCTGAACAGGAATGCGATCCTGCAGTTGGTGAAGCCACATGACTGCTGAGCAGTTGAAGTAGGCCATCGCAGCAGACTTTATCGCCCAAGCGGAAATGTTGAAGTTCTTATGCAAGGTAAGCTCCGCACGCTTGTCCTCCAGTTTCAGCTTATTAGCCACATCACCAGACACAACAGATGACGCATTGGCCAGGGTTGCCACTGGGGCACCCACTGTGGGCTGCTCAAGTGCCTGGGAGAAGACCTGCCCCATGTTGTAGAAGGGGTGGTCATTGCTCCCAGGGTTGGGAAAGGTGGAAGGGCGAGCCCACTGATTCTTTACCACCTCCAGAAACAAGGGAGGGGCAGGAACCTCCTCCTTATTGGTGACTGTATTGGAAAACATGACCAGGTTAGGGTCTCTGAGGGACAACAGGGTCCCCAGACCCTATCTTAGTGGTCTTCCTGGCTTTGTGAAGCAAGGAGGAGAAAAAAGATTGGGAAAGGCTGGAGGATCAGAAAGAATCGACTCTTCATCTCTGAGAACCCCATGTCTTGAAGAGGGTCTTCGCCTAACACTGATCCCTCGCTAACAACCGAGGGGGAAGGAGGCCTGGTAGGGATATGTCTCTGAACAGAAGAAGAGTCCCTTGGCTGTTGAGAACAGTAAGTCTCCCTATCCCCTGGAGGGAGATGTTGACTTTGGGGGAGGGCAGAGGCAACTCCCTTCGATATGGCCGAGGAAAACAGGCTCTTAATGCTCTCAGGCAATAACTCTAAATTCTCAAACTCATCCTCCTCTTGGTCAGCAAGGGGCCCCTGGGGAGCTAGGGTGTGATGAGGAAGAAATCCCCTAGAAGTACCCTCCAATGTGTCCCCATCATCCTCCCGGATCCCCTGGGTAGGCATGGGAGGAGAAGGAGAGATCTCCATACCAGTTTGTCTTGAAGGCCTAGCAGGGGAGACAGATGGAGAAGAAGGGCTGAAGCCCCTGGGAGGAGAGCCTAATTGGTGAGATCCTGGCCTTAATGGGACCTGGATCTGTTGGGGGAGCTGGGTCTGGTGGCCAGGGCCTGTTGTTCTGCCCTGACAATTCTCTTTTCAAGGGCACGTTGGTGCCTCAATTCATCCCTTTGGACTGCCCTGGACGGTCATTGAGTGGCGGAAGGTTTAGCTGCTGCTGCCCTGGTTCTAGGGCCTTCCATTCCCCCTGTTCTGGCGTCATTAAGGGCTTTCTCTAGGGCCTGACTTGAGCTCAGCCATCAGATCACTCACGCATTCTGGTCGCTGTGGAATTGCCTTGGAGACACCAGCCGGTGCAGAGGCCTTGCAGTGAGAGGTGCACTGCCAGAGAGCAATTTTGCCAGCCCGACACTGGTCACGATGCAATCAGGAGCAATTAATGTCCAAAATGGACGCCTCCACATGTGTGCTCCAAAATGGCCGCCGGAGGCTCCTTGTGCCGTTTAAAGGCTTCACTCTCTTTGCTGCGGCTTGTTTGAATAGCCGCTGCTTGATTGATGGGCATGCGGCTGAGATAAGGTAAAAAAGCTGCTGCTAGCCCACCGGCACTTTTCACTTTGCCGCCTCACCCACAGAGCTGCTGGAAGGAGCCTGACACCCCCGTAGTTCCAGGGATCAGTTGGGGTCCCGGTGCCATGAGGAGAGAGCGCAAGAGTCAATTAGCTCTCTCTCGATGCGCTACGAGACGGAGGACCCTGTCCCTGCGGGGCAGCAGCTTTATTTTGGAATTTAGAATGTCCAATGGATCAAATAGAAGAATTAATAACTTTACCTATTTCTCTCAATAACTCACTGGCAATCAAAAGCAGTTGTTTGGACCAAAGACTGAGAGAAGCTGGGTGTCAACAGGGAAATTTCCCCTCAGTCTTTGGACCAATCTGGCTTTCTGAATATCCCACGTGTAGCCCCTCCCTCGAGTCTACTGAAAAAAGCTATCATTCACAAATACCATGGGCCTTAGTTTCATCATTTTTCCATTATGGCAATGACTACATTGTTGTATTTTATCAAAAGAAACTTCTGATGGTTGCAGAGAAGGACCTGCTATGACAGCTGTATTTCACTGAGCATTTTATGAAATAACATCATGCTTACAGTATCCAGGTGGGTTCGCTGATGCTTAGCCCGGTCGCTAGAGTTGCTGAAAGCTTTCTGGCAGCCAGGATGCTGACAAAGATAAGGCTTCTCACCCGTATGACTTCGTAGGTGGATCTTAAGATTTTCAAGCCGAGAAAATGCTTTGTTACATCCTTCAAACTGCAATAAAGCCATAAGAAAACCTCTGTAAACCTTTATTAAATAAACCATTATATCCTATAATGAATACAATATTTAAAAGACCATCCAAAGTGAGCATGCAACAAATCAACCAGAATTCAGAACATCTGCTAAAATTTATGGATGAAACACATTTGGCTTTGCTGTTTGAATCTTTTACTATGAATGGCACGTGGGTTGGTAATACTATTTTCACATATGCATAGTGTTACGCCTCCAAAACATGGCATTAAATAAAGGAGCTTAAGCTCCTTTATGAAACAAACTACTAGATACTTACCAATACCTAAATTTCTTGGAGTGGTCTTCACATGTATGAGCTATATCCCTGCAAAGAGCACATTTAGAAGCTTCTAATATTTACAGAATTTCTTGATGGCTACACTGTCCTTTCCACATGTAATTAGTCACAGGAAAGAAATGGTTCCTTTGCTAATTTGTAAGAAAGTTTGATAATTGCAACTACCAACTTGGAAAAGTGCTGAACAGAAAGACATCTGAAGTCTTAGTGGACAATCACTTAAATATTATCCAGCAATGTGATGCAGCTGTCAAAAAAGCCAACACAGTCATAGGCTGCATTTACAGAGGGTTAGAATCAATATCATATGAAGTGTTTATAATGCTTCTGTAAGACCACACTTACCGAATGAATATAGCGTCCAAGAAATAGAAGGTCTGAGGGAATTAGCAGAGATGGCTAAATTGACTGTTTTGATTAAAGAAAAACAAAGCAAATACTTTTATTTCTACTTGGAAACCTTTTCCGGACTTTGTGCTTGAGGTGGAAAAAATGGAACTTTGATTTTGGGTTTTACCAATTAGATTTGTTGTTATAGAAATGGCTAGTTTATATTATTAAGAAAAAGTAAAAAGTTGAGAGTAGATGTTAATACCTTATTTTACTGCACCAAAGGAGTTGGAAGTCAATGCCTTTTTTTCTTTTTCCCTTGCTTTCTCCCACTATCCACTTTCCTTTTTCCTTCCCTAATTTCCCTAATATTTACTTTTGTATTCTCTTTGTATGTCATATTATAAATTAATAAAAACTATATTTTTTAAAAAAAAGAATACTGCATCTCTATTTGATCACCATGATATAAAGAAGACTAAATTTAGTAATCAGCATCATAGTACTGTGGCCTCCATAGAGGGGTTCACCAGAGACTGTAGAGTGGTGATGATAGTCCTAGAAGCAAGCAATGATTGAGGACATGATATGAGTCAATGACCCTGAAGCAGATATAGTATTCAGCAGGTTCTGACCAGTTCTGAAAAACTGGTAGCAGAAATTTTGAGTAGTTTGGAAAACTAGTAAATACCATCTGTGACAGCCCCTACCCCATTCTCTGCCATCCGAGTCCCAGCTGATTGGGAGGGAATGGGGATTTTGCAGTAACCTTCCCTTGGAGTGGGGTGGGAATGGAGATTTTACAGTATCCTTCCCCTACCACACCCACCAAGCCATGCCACACCCACCAAGTCATGCCCTTAGAACCAGTAGTAAAAAAATATTGAATCCCACCACTGTCCTGAAAGCAGACTGGTCATGGGAGAAGTGGCTACAGACCTGATTGAATAAAAAATAAAGAAGGTGGGAAGCCCTGGGTCTAGTCACTCCTTAATGCAGAGGAATGGTGCAGGAAACATGATCTACATTGGGATTTATTCACATTCTAAAATTAAGATTTAATCCAAAAGAGAAAGATGGTCCAAATGGATCAACCCAGAAGCACGAACATATATTGCACCTCAAATAAAGATCAGTGACTCTATTTGACATTTGTCTAAAATGATATAGGGGAAGAGGGGATTAACTTATTTTCCAATGCACCAGAAGGCAAAACAAGAAACAATGGATAGAAACTAATCAAGGAGAGAAGCAATCTGGGATTAAGGAGAAATTGAGAACAATTAACCAGTGGAACAGCTTTCCTTCAGAAGTTGAAGATGCTTCATCACTGGAGGTTTTTAAGAAAATACTGGACAGCCACCTGTCTGAAAAGTCTCCTGCTTGAGCAGGGGGTTGGACTAGAAGACCTCCAAGGTCTCTTTCAATTCTGTTGTTCTGTTATTCTGAGCTGAAATCCTAAATACAAATGCCAATATTGGGGGCCTTTGTTTTTCCTTCTTTTTGCTTTGACTAGGGCTAGGTCAAACCCCGTAACTTTAACCTTAAACTGTCTAGCGTGGACCTCACCCCTTTCTTAAGAGGTCTGTAAGGGGGCGTGCCACGGCGTGCGCACCAGCGTGCCTGCCCTCCCTCTCCTACTGTCTCTATTTATTCATGCTCATTTACTGTGTTCATATTTATGTTTATACTGGTATCTCGTATATGTTTGACAGACTAACTAACTAACTAACTAACTAACTAACTAACTAAATAGGTAGATTTACTGTACTGATTCCCCTGGTGCTAGTAAGAACAAAGCAAAGTTCTGGGAACTCCACACAGGAATTTCAGACCTATTTAAGACATGATGTAAAAGAACCCTCTGCAATTTTTGAGACACAACGGGAAGATCAAGGGGTTATAAAAGAATATGTCACTATGATACAAAGTGTGGTGCACACATGAGAGGAATGCTTGTATCATTCCTACACTGCAAAAGCCTGGTTATGCTTACAAGAATTTACTGTGTAGCCCTCTCCAGAGCACAAAAGGCAACAATTATATCCATGAAGGATGGACTAATATTTCACTGAGATAAATTATATTAAAACTGAGGAAATAACTGACCTAGAATTCAGAGATATATTTGGAGAGGAAATTGCCTCTTGAAATATGATGCCTTTGCTGAGATTCAATATGCAAGATTAATAAAGTCATTGATTAACACAGATATATTCAATATATTTTAGAAACAACCTAGTTACTGCCTAACAAATGTACAACTGTGCAATTTACTTCAATCCTTCAATAAGAATATGCTTGACAATGTTAACATTTTAAAGCTGATTTAGAAATGACTAATATGCATGTGTAAAAACACCTGGCTAGAATCCTATCATTTTTACTTTCTTTGCAATTCTGTCTTAATTCCATTTCCTTTGACTTTAGCAAAAAGAGAAGAAGATGAGGAGAAGGGGGGGAAAAACAGAATATAAATGAACAAAATAGAAAAACAGCGGCACTCAGAAGAGAAATATGGGGGACACAGTACAGGAGATAATGGACACAGAGATGGCCATAAAAAAGAGGTGCTGCACTTCAGTAACCAAGAAAGACATGTTGAAGTTCTTCTAACCAGTTTCCTTTATTGTTTCTCACCTGTAGACAGAAATCTTCCAAACTAAAGCAGAAAACGTACACCAGTGATGGCCAACCTTTTTGGCACTGAGTGCCGAAAAGTGAACTAGTGTGTGAAGCACCCAGGCGCGCTTGTCTGAGCCACAACCTCAGAAGAGGAACTGCCCAGGGGGTTTGAGCATGGCAGAAAATGAACTTCGAATTTTAGGCATCCGCATGCACACAGATCAGCTGGCCAGCACACATTCTCAAGCTGGAAATCGGAAGACCAGCTCTTCTACTTTCTGTCACTGCCGCACGTACGAAGGCCAGCTGATCATTGCACGCACATGCATGCATGCCAGAAACCTGGAAGACCAACAGGCGACACCACACATGCCAGGCAACATTGCTCCGCATGCCACTTTGGGCACCTGGGCCATAGGTTCGCCATCACAGACTTACACTATTAAGCATACAGAATACTCTGAGAGTTACTAGGAAGGGGCTGTCTCAACTCTCTTCTGTACTATCTAAACTTTGCTGTCTTTTGCTCCTTTGGAATGCACTTTCGTCCCTTCAGGGTATCCATGTACTTCAGAGGTAACCGGACACAGAAGGGGAAAAAGGGGGAGAAGTTCCCCTTAAAGTTAAAAAAAAGGTGCCACAATTTTTAAAGTGCAGTGTTACAGACAAACTGCCTATAGCCTGATGTGCGATTCTGACTAGCTCAACCCTTCCATCCTTCCCAGATCAGAAAAATGAGGACCCAGATTTTTGGAGGTAATGTGCAAATAATGCTTCTAAGTTGCAAACCACCCAGAGAGTGCTGTAAAGCACTATGAGGTGGTATACAAGGCTAAATGCTACTGCTATTAAATGAAGCAGACAACAATGACTCCAAACCAAGAGACTAATCTTTAAATAACACACAAGAACATTAAAAGAAAAAGTCCTGATGGGCCATTTAAGGCCCATTTTATTCCAGCATTTTAATTCTTATAATGGGCAATCAGAAGGCTTTAGTATAATTACACACAGGAAGCAAAAACTCTTCTTTTATTCCCCTTCTCTGAGTATTTGGAGATATATGTGCTTCCTAATTTAAAGGTAAATATTGAGTATTCTATGCAAACAGACTTGATGCTCATGTCCTCCATAAATTCATAAGAACCACTAAATTAAAGAGCTAGAACAGCAGTGAGGTGACACGAGGCTGGATCCAGGCGGTTGTGACCGCCTCTCTTCGGGAGGGGAACTTCCCC